TTCCTCCTGCACATTCTTTTCCAGTCAAGTTCTCCTGTGTGGTGGCAATTTCTGACCACCACTGCAACTGTCTTCAGGAAAGGGAGTAATGGCCAGCTGAGGAGGAGAGATGCGGCTCTCCTCAACCCTGCTGGCAGTCTTCCCCCTCTTCCCCACCTCTACGGGGTGGCTTACCCCTGAAACCAGCTGGGTCAGGGCGCTCCAGCAGCAAGCCCAGACAGAAACTGTGCACGATCGCGGATTTCTGTCTGTCGCCGAAGCTCTTCAAACCGGAAGTCGTCATCTTTATTATTTTTAATGTTAGTACTTAATATTGCTTTCTTTACTGCTTGAAAGCCACCTCTAGGCAAGATGGGCAGCATATAAACTCAATAAATAATAATAATTTTGGATTTCATGCAGAAGGCGGAAAAGTGCTAACATGTCATCTGCCTGGAACTCATTCAAAGTAACTGCTTCTATTTCCATTGCATTGCAAAGCAAAACATATCCAAAGTACTGTAAATCTTAACCCAGTGTTAAAAAAAAACAAACCAAAATGAGAACATCTTTTATAATCCATGTCATAGCTTCAAAAGGGAAAGTAATGAGAATTGGCATGGAGCAGTGGTTCAGATATTGAATTTCCTGTAGGAAACCCCATTTAAAATCCAATCTCCATCAGTGGAAGCTCATGATGGTAGCCTCACCCTAAATTCAGCATAACTGACACCAGCATTTGTTAGAAGATTTGAAGGAAGGACCTTCTAACTCTACTCCGTTTGTGCCTTATTCCCTTGCTTGCCATTTTGGTTAATATTAAAGCTATTTTAATGTGACTATTTATTTTAATGTGTTTTCATTGCTTGTTGTTTGATATGACTGACATATAACCTTGATAAATTATGCTTGTGTTTCCTGCATCAGAGTGTATTTTGAATTTCATGTGGAAGATGTAGAAGTGCTAGCATGGCATCTGCCCACATTTATTAAAGTAGCTGCTTCTATTTCCAGCATTGCAAAGAATAGAGTAAAATAGAATAGAATGGAGAATAGAAGAATAGAATAGGTCAGATCCATGTATCTGCCAGATAGAAGGGGGGGAAGTTGATACAAGTAATCCTTTTTGATATAACCTGAATATATTAAATTTTATATTGATATACAACTGGAGGACTGGAGCCAGATGGCTAGAAACTTGTCACCTCTTGGAGAGACAGCAAGAAGAGAAGGGACCATAAAAATTCCAGCTCTGGAAGATACTCCCTGGGAAAATCGTCTAAGATACGTTCCCAGGAAAGGAGAGAGAGGAATTAACATGTTGGTTCTTTGTTTGACTAAATCCACATCTAAATAAGGGGAGGGGTTCTAACTCCCTTTATTTATTACTGTATGCCTGGAAGCACCTTAGATTCTGCTTTCACTAGTACTGGATTCACTTCCTTTCAATGAAGGATTCCTTTTGAAATACCTAGTTTCCAGAACTTCATTCTTTTCAGTTGAGGGGAAAAGTCCATTGCTTACAGAATAAAATAATAGAACAGAACAAAGCAGAACATAATAGAATTCTTTTGTCTTTGTGCAAATGCTCTCAGTGTACATAAAAGAAAAGATACATTCATCAAGAATCATGAAGTACAACACTTTTTTTACTACTAGTTTGGCAGAACGGTAACATTTTTTACTACCAGTTAGTCCGAACTGGGCCAAACAGGTGGAATACCACCACTGATCCTAACTACTGAAAATAGGAGGCCCCCCCTCAAATTTCTTCCCCTTTTGGCCTTAGGAAAGCCATAATGCCAGCTGCCATCTTATGTTCGCTTGTGCTTTGCTGTCATGCGGTGAGTCTGCCATAAACTGTGTTGAGGGGAATGTTTGCGGAAAATGAAAATAGTAAATGTGCCACCTTGAAACATTGCTCCAAGGTCATCCAGCTGGAAGGAGGAAGGAACTGCATACCAACCATCTTGCATGACCATGATTGGTTACAATGAAATGAGCAGCAAGGAGCAATTAAGGAGGGAAAAATAGAACTTGATTTTGGCGTGTGATTCTCAGTTCTGGCTTTGCATTACTGCAATACACTTGATTTCTAATAAAACTATACTTTTCTCATCAAGTGGAGCCAAGGATCATTTCTGCTTAGAGATTTAAGTTGTGGCTGATCTGACACAAAATCTTATTTCTACCAGTACCACACTGCAGTCTTTGGATGTTTCCTAAATGCTAAATGTCCTAATATTATTTCCTAAATTAAATTTCCTAAATGTCCTCAGCCGCAAAAAGTTTGCCTACCGCTAAAGTCTAGAATTAGGGACACGGTGGCTGAGTGGTTAAGACACTGGCACAGATTCATTCAGATATCTATCTATCTGCCATTGGCTAGCTCAGTCTGTCACATAAAATTTGCTTGCAAGCAAACTCACAAAATTAACTCACAACAAACACACCATGCATGTAAATATTGATTTTTTTATTTTAAAAAAGAGCAACTTTTACCCAATATCACGCAAAGCAGGCATACTGAGTTGCTCACAGAAACATTCAGTGATCTATCTATCTGCCATCGTCTAGCTCAGTCTCTCAAATTTGCTTGCAAGCAAACCTTCAGCCCTAAGGGAGGTTCGGCTGTGCTGAGCTGAAGATCTAAAGACTAGCTAGGAAACAAGAAACCCAACCATTTCCTGTTTCTAGCTAATCTAAATCTTCCGGCACAGCGGAACATGATGGTTGGAAAAAGGAAAAATAGCAATTTAGCAGGCAAGTTTACCGGGTAAGCAGTGAGTGGGTGGGGAGGGTTTCTGCAGGCCATGTGGGCAGTGCAGCCTTGTGTTTCTGCGCAGCCTGGATTAATTGCTTTGAAGGAGTGCTCTGGGGGTGAGATTTCTCTGCCAAAATTTTCTCACAGCCCACCAGTTGGCGACTATTGCTTTAGAGAATACATTGATCCCCTTTTCTCTGTGACAGCCTCTCAAGTATAGGAAGACTGCTCTCATGTCACCCCTAGTTGTTCTTTTGGTTAGACTAGATATGCCTAGTTCCCACAACTGCTTAGTTGAATCTATCTTCTGAAGTTATTCTCCCAGCTTGGTGTTGACTGCAAATTTATGAGTTCTCCTCATACCCTCTCATCTAAATTAGACTTAAGACATAAATAACTTTATTGTCACTTTAAGTGTACACTAATCGGCATACATTAAAATGAAATTTCATTACCTACAGCTCTCAAAAGGTCATCTCCAATATACACTATATAAACATGACAAAACTTTAAACAAATAAATTACAAAGAAACAAACGAATAAACATTTATGAAGATGCTGAAGCATTCTGGACTAAGGCAGAACCATGGGGTATTCCATTGCATGCTTCCCTCCATTTAGATGTAGTGTAGTGTAGATTACCATTGTGTGGGGTTGGCCAGCCAGTTGCAAATACATTTGGTGATGATATTGTCTCGCCCTTTTCTGTTTTACCAAGAAGTAGGCTGTGATCCATTTTGTCAAAATGTCTTACTGAAGTCACAAGTCACTTTTTTCAGGGCCATTTTAACTTTGAACAGTCACTAAATGAACTGTATTGACTACCTGTAGGTTCCTTCTAGTCTATCATTAAAGGTGAGCTTCCTTGAAGCATCCTTGGAAAGAAAGCAATC